ATAAGGTAATTATAGATCAATTACATATTATTTTCACAAGATCTAAAACATGAGAACTGAAACAAAACATCAAATGATACATTACGGAAAGCTTTTGCGCCATCTTAAAGGTAATATGGTTAGGACTCTTCTCCATTTCGCTTTCTACTGATTCTAGAAAACAGTGAAACATTGCCAAAGGAACTGCTTACTCACTTAAGCATAGCTGACAATTCACAGGGTTAGCAAGACCTGAGGAAAACAGGCCTGTTACATAAAGAGAAAATGTATTTGTTTTACATAAACATCTCTAAAAGGCCCCAAATAATGTTCAACTCAACAAGTATCTAAGTACTCTAAACATAACAAGTAGTACATCAGGTACTGTGGAAAAAGACAAAAAAAAAAAAAAAAAAAAAAAGTCGGATGTCGGATTTCTGAGTTCTATTATAGTATAAAGACATAAGATATAGTAAACAAAATCAACAGGCATAACAACTACACAATCATCCCAAGACAGGGTATAGTGGGTGGGTTGCAAGAGTAGAGTTATTGAGGGGGGCGGAGAGGGGGAATGGGGCAATAGGACACATATTTATTATAATACCTTAATCAATAATTAAAAAAACAACTAAAACCACCTACCGTATTTTCCAGCTTATAAGACGACCCCTAATTTTACAGTTAAAACATAGGTTTAGGCCTATATTCACTGTATAAGACTACCCCTCACTTCAAAGAAAAGACTTACTTTGCCATCAAGATCTGCAGGTAATTTTTGTGCAATTTTGGTCTTTTGCCCCTGATTTTCAGTTGACTTTTTTTCGTTTCAAGAGTCGTCTTATACGCCGGAAAATATGGGGTAATTGACCTATACATTTAAACTATATTCATTTTATTGTATGTAAATTATATATCAATAAAGCTGATTATTAAAAAAGAGTAGAGTTATTGAGAGAGAAAATGGGATAGGTATAATAGAGCCAGTTAGTAAAAAACCTGGAATGTCATACTTAAAATTCTAGATTTAAATCTATGGGAAACTATTTTACCTAGATCCCATTCCCCTAAAGTAGTGTTTCCCAAACTTCTCTCGTGATGAGAATCACCTGGTGGAGTTGTTAAACTACAGATTCCTGAATCTCAACTAAGAAGTACTAAACTAGAATTTTTGGGAACATATAGGTAAAATTGTATACTTAGAGCACTAAGTTAAGTATACAATTTTACCTACGGTACATGTTCCCAAAAATTCTAGTTTAGCACTTCTTAGTTGGGATTCAGGAATCTGTATTTTAACAACTCCACCAGGTAATTCTCATCATGAGAGAAGTTTTGGAAACACTGCCCTAAAGAATAGTTTTTGATTTAATGATTCCTAGTTATTTTCAATCTTAATGAATAATGTTGAAATCTGGATAACTGAAATTCTATGTAGTAAAAACAAGAGATGTTCTGTGAAAAGTTAAATTCGAATTCTGTAACATCACCTCAAATAATTAAGAACATATTCCAAATATCCCCAACAACCCCGAATAAACCCTTATTAAGTTACACATATATATTTTTTAAATACTTCGTACACCTTAGCGTTTAATTCATATTATCTCTTGGGGGGATCATTTTAATAAAATACTACTCTTATTTACCTCCTCACCCAAATAATCTTTCAGGCATTAAAATATATTTAGTAGCTATTATAGTGTCTGGCTCATATCAGGCTTTCTATTCATTGACCTAAATAAATTACCACAATATATTAAACTTAGTCATATCTCTCATGGCTTAGTAGGCTTTCATTATATTCCTCCTTCAACCTTTCTCTTTCTTGATTGAAAAAAATAACCAGAAAGTCCCTCCAACCTTTTGATTAATTTAATTGGGTTTCTGGGGACTTACATCAGCTGTTAGGTTTTTCTTAAGGAGCAACCACCAGAATTTCCTACATGATTGTGAATCTAAATTTTCAATCTTTTGATCTTTTACATGGAAAAGATAAAGGTTTTATTTTGTCATTGTTTTCAACACTCTTCCTTTATGATGCCTACCATATTCTTGGCTTTGAGGACCACAATCAAAAGTAGGCCAACTTCACAGACTGATCAATAGTGATTTTTATTTTTTACTCTAACAATAATGTTGTATATTTTATAACTCAGAGACTGATATTTCTCTTGAGATTATCACAACTATCCAGACAAATCTACAGGTACTCAGCTACTCCAGCTGAAAGAGAGTTATGATTCCAGGTCCAAAAGGACCCTCTCACTTTTTATGATCAGCAGCTGTGTCCCCACTGGGGAGGCTTTCCTATAACAATTCCCTTGGAGAACTTTGCTGATTTATGTATCCTGATTGCCCTAATTTCCTTGTGTATCCTGTTTTAAAAGTGTGTGTGTGTGTGTGTGTGTTTTTAATTGAGAGATGACATACATATACCTTCAGTGATTTCTAGATCCCTTTCTTGGGTTATAACTGAGTCTATCATATCATAAACATGGATAGGTTTGAAAAGCCTTATAAAAATGAAGTGCCTCTGACAGTTCTGCCCATTTGGTCTCAAGAGATCATCCTGCAATTTATTCTCATCAGTTTGCCTTGACTCCTTGCAAATAAACTAGTGAGAAACCTGAATGTTCTGCCCATTGAAGGGTGTATTATTTTATCTTTCTCTCCACCTAAGAGTTGCTATAACAACAACTGTCTGTGTTAGAAAATTAAATTATAAAAATGTAACCTACGTGGCCAAATCCCATAAGGCTGTTTACTTCCTTATTTATGAATCAGAATCTGTCAGCACAACTTAGAATCTTGACTGTCAGCAGATACTGCAATTAAATGTCCCTGCAAAGCCAGCAGATGGTGCACCAGGGCACTAGAAATTTTACCCAAAATGTAGCAGTATCAACTAACTCTAATAGTCAATCACCTTTTTTTTTCTTTTTGGTATACTAAAACTATCCTCAAGATAAACAAGTTGAATCTGGGTTAAAATTCCTTCAAAGCATATTCCAATTCTCCTGAAAGTGGAGTTCAGCAAGAAATACATAGTTAAGGGTGGCCAAAACATAGATGGAGTAGAACTGATCCATCTATTTTGGAAAAATTCTACTGTGAAGATCCACTCCACTTCCTCCCAAAAGGCTTGAGGAGGTAGTATGATGGGGAATGGACACTTAACTGGGAGTCAAGAGACCAACACCTAGGACAAGTCACTACCCCCTCAGAGCCTATGTGTTCTCAAAGAGAATAAAACAAAATTGACTCATGGCCATTCACAACTCTAAAAAAACTGACTAAAATTGTTGTCAGCAAATGTAAAGAGCCAGTGTGCATACTTCTGCTCAAAAACATTAAAACAGAAAGAATAAAGGACAGAAGATAGGGAGCTGTATTTAAACCTAGGGAGGACTATTTGAAGTTCCATGCAAATAACAGGCAACTAAATGCCATTATAGACCTGCGAGAGTCCCACATCATCACAGAAGCCCTAGAGTACAGCTGTCCTGCCAATCCTCCTGGGTCTGTCTATTCTGAATGCCAAAAAGCCTTGGCTACCAATTGACTAAAAAAGTTGAATTCCTTCATCTTTTCACATGATATCAATGTTTAGCTGCTAAGTATTTCTACTGGGCATTAGAGAGGGTGGTGGATAAAGGGAGTCAGAATTCTAGTTAATTATCATTTAGCTACAGTGTTTAAAGTCTCAAGTATGAGAAGCATGTCTACTGATTCTGTTATTTGATAAGCTGTAATATAAATTGGAGCGTGCTAGCAATATATTTTAAGGCTCAGGGCAACTTTACAATTCACATCATAGAAAAATGTGTCAGTCCTAACATTACAATATTATTATCAATGTGATGCCAGCACAAATAACATTTATAGAGTATAGCAATGACTCTGATGTTGTAGTTAATATATTATAGAAGGCCTGGGTCTCCCCCCTCAGGAAACTTATTAGCAAAACTTGCCCTCTTCTCCAAGAGGAACAAACTCACTGTAACTCTTTAACCATCTCAAAAGGATTTTTGGATGCTTCTCTTAAGTTTCGCATAAGACAAAATTTGGAGGTCAAGAGGATACTAATTTTAAGTGCACTAAACTTACTTGAATAAAGACTAGAAAACAAACACCAAAGCTGCTAACAAGGGCAAAAACACCATAAAGATTGCGAAACACACACACAAATACACACAACTGCTCTTAAGAGATTACTCTGGAGTATTTATTCCATCAGTAGACTCCTGTTCTCAAACTAGCAGCAGCAAGACACTTCACACACACACACCCCTCTCCACCACACTCTCCCAAAAGGAGTCCGAATGGGAGTTTCATTTCCATAGATTTTTTAAAATTGCTCTTCAGAAGTTGTCTAGCAAAATGGCATATTTCTACCAGAATTCCTCAGGGGCGCTGATCCTCACTACAACGCCCAGGACAATCAGTCTCAAATTGCAGGTAAGTGTGATCAAGCCCACGATCTGGTCAGCGCACAAGGATCCGCTCTGGGAATATCATTAAAAGTTGTTTCAACGGCCCTAGAGCGGTTATTACAGCTGTTTACAGCTCCAATTCCAAATGAGAGCCTGCTAGTGCTGGCATCAACTTTGGACACGAAAAAACAAGCACCGCAGGCGGAGAATCTAATCTCACCAAGAGGAGAGGGGCCAAGCTGCAGCCGCTAGTCCGCCAGAAGGGCAGCACCCGCACCTCCTCACGGGCGGCCCAGCCGGGAGCTCAGCCAACTTTCCCCGAGGCAGCCTGCAGCCGGGGGCGGCGGACGCGGGCCAGGGCTTCCAAGTCCCGGGTCTCAAGGGAGTCTGGGAGCTGGGCGAGGGAAAGGGGACAACCTGCCCCAGGGCAGCCGACCTCCCTCCAGTTGCCTGCTCCCTCCCAGTCCAGCCCTCCTACGTGGCTGGCGATAGCTGAGTCGCCCAAGGGGCCGGCGGGGGAGGGCCCCCGTCCTACCCATAAAGGGAGGGAGCCTCTGCAGCCGCCGCCCCAGCCAAGTGACTCACCTGGTGCCCGTCCTGAGAGTCTGGTGTGAGAGTTGTTTCTCCGGGTTCTAGCGGCTGCTGCTGAAGTGAAGGCTGCCTGAAGTGGCGGGTGATGGGACCGTCGGGGTCCAGGCCACCGGGTCTACTCAGGGTGCCAGAGGTGCTAGGGGTGCCGAGGCCGCCAAAGCGGGACTCGGCTCCCCGTTCCCGCCGCAACTCGGAGCGCAACTCTAGGTAGCAGCATAATGTCAGCAGGTGGAGGGCCAGCGAGAGGCCGAAGAAGCCCAGGAAGAGCCGGCAGCTGTTCCCTTCACCCGCCCGGGCACGGGCCCCGCGACAGCCACAGCCCTGACTCCCCTGCTCCCTTGGCGCTGCTGCAGGCAGGGGCTCCCTGCTCTCTACCTCGGGGTAGCCCATGGCCTCCGGAGACGCCCACTCTCTGAGGCCCGGGAGGCGCCGCGTCTGCCTCAGCCTTTCAGGACCCCTGACAGGCGGCTACTGTCCTGCCATGGGCTGGGGGCTGCAGGGACCCGTTCCTGCGCGAAGGAGGCTGGGCGGGACAGAGCGGGGAGAAGCCGCATGTGCAGCTCCACTCAGAGGGGTGGGAAAGGGAGGAGGAGGAGGGGCGAGAGAGAGGGGCCGCTGGGCCGGCGGAGGGAATGAAGGAGGAGGCTAGAGACAGCCCCGCCCCATCCCTCAAACAGCTGCCCAGGCGTCCAACCACCTGGCTCGCCAAGCCTGGGTGCCCCGCCCCTTGCTGTTCCACCCGGGGCCTCCGGCCTCGAGGCGGAGCCTGGGGGTGTGTGAGTTGCCTCAGCCTGATGGCCCCACCCAGCTCTTCCCGCTTGCTCCATTCCAGTTGGCGATTGCTGCTGTCCTTCATCACCGGGCTCCGCCCCAATTTAACCCTTCAGCGCCAGCACGGGGGAAGGGAAGAGGGGGAGGCTGAGAAGAATTTGGGAACCTTGGAAAGTAGAGCAAGTAAAAGGAGGCAGAAACTAGTATTAATAGAAATGTTTGCAATTAACTGCAGTTGCTAATAACATCATCCAGTACTTATCTGTTGCTTTCAATCTTCAAAGCGTTTAACAGACGTTAAACTAATTAAAATAGTTCTGGTTTTGGAATGAAACCATGCCTGCTGTGTTTTCAATCCAATAGTGCGCCAAAAGAAAAGGAAACTCGGGAACCAGGGAGCCAAAGGGTGAGAATGAGGAGGGATACGGGCAGCCCCACTCCTGGAGTAAGTCTGCAGCCTCAATGTAAGTGATGAAGTCCACCTATGAAGTGCTGTTGCCCTATGCAGGGTAAAACGATCCCCTAGGGTGTCTTGATATATTAATTCATTCAACAAATATATATTGATCCCTTTAAAATGGAGAAAGTGCTGCCCGGCTGGTGTGGCTCAATGGTTCAGCGTCACCATATGGACCAGGTAGTCAAGGTCCAATTCTCAGTTAAGGGCACTTCCCCAGGTTGCTGGCTTGATCCCCAGTGGGGGACAGCATGCAAGAGGCAGCCTATGCAGGATTTTTTCTCCTCAGTGATGTTTCTATCTCTCTCTCCCTATCCCTTCTCTCTGAAATCAATAAAAACATATTTTAAAAAATAAAACAATGTTGAAAGTGCAGTATGAGAGAACCCATAGCCAATATAGCTTCTCTTCTTCCACCGCAGCAAGAGTTTTGAGTGGAGAACATGTGTCTACAAAGAGCAAATGAGGAAACTGAGAGCCAGAATGAGGTGAATTTTTACAAGGGTGGTCCGCAGAATGGCCAGACAATATTGGCATCTCTATTTGCAGGCAACTGTTCTGGCCTCTCCACCCCTCCCCTCTTCTCCCTGGAGTAGTCCCTGGGGAAGGTTCAACAAGTCAGCCAAATGTTGCAGATGCACACTGCTGTGACTGCAGCATCTTCAACAGCTGCACCAATCAGAAAAGGGTTTAGAACCAAAAAACAAACAAAAACAGGAGTGCAAATGTCAGAACAACAGATCCTGAAATGAACGATGGAAAGGATTGAGTTGCCATTGACAGTAGTTACTTGTCCGAGATTGTAGAGAGCTAAATGACTATAGCAGGGGGGAATGTGTATGCTTCTTGGCCACTGTGCACTCCCATTCCCATATTATGAGTAATTAGCAGTTTTATTGACTTGAAGATGGTAGGCCTAGATCCCAGGCTGAAGGATTAAAAAAAGAAAAGGGGAATACAAAAGAAGAGAAACAATGAAACAAAAATAAAGCATATGGGGGGGAGGGTCAGTCCAGAGAACACAAAGGTCAAAATCCTTAAATATATCAGCCACAGCCAACTTTTTTTTCACTCTGTGAATGGTTTTGGTGCTTTAGAAACATCTTTGTGTCTCCCTATTGGCCCTTACCCATGAAATATCAAGTTTGTAAAGAATATCATCACCATGCAGATAAAATAATTTAAAAGTGCATACGCTGCTTGTCTAGACTAGGAATTCTAGATGCTAGGGGAACTGCCAGGCTGATTTTATCTTCATTATCACAGCTCAGAACTATTAGAAAGAATGCTAGTGTAAGAGTCAGTAGAACTGCCCTGTCACTGTGTTTGCTGGCTCATGCTGAGAAAAGTGTTATACTTTTTGGGACCTTTGCTTTTCTCATTGTATTATAAAATGAATAGTGTGAACTTTAACAGCTGAAACTTTGTCTTTTATCTATTTTATTACTGGCTGTGCTGACTTGGTTACAAACACAGTTCAAAGAGGCTGCCCCTTGTTCCCCCAAAATGAAAAGGAAACAAATAACAGTCATCTTCTGGTAGTAGGGCTCAGGAGTCTTACTGGACTCAGTTTACCATGTTCTTTCTACCCGGTTTTTAGCAGCTTAATGGAGGAACTGAGTTGTACCATTGCCCTCAGAAGACTACAATTGCTTTTGATCTGGTACCTCACATTGGTTCCCCAGAGGAAAAACACATGGCTTCATATGCAGTAGAAATGTTGAAATGGATAATCCACTGAGGGATGTACATGGTTATTTTTATTTATTGTTGAAATATTCACATGTTTCCTTGTTTGTTTGTTTGTTTGTTTTTCCCATTGACCACCTGTACCCTGCACCCACCCCTCTCTGACCTTCACCACTCATTTGTTTATGTCCATATAAGCATATGAGTTACCCTACTAATCACTCCCCACCCCATCTCCTATCCCCCTCTTCCCTCTGAAATTCGCCACTCTGTTCCATGATCCTATGTCTCTGGATCAATTAATTTCATTTGTCTGTTTCTTTTGTTCATTAGATTCTACATATGAGTGAGATCAAATGATACTTGTCTTTCTCTGACTTATTTTGCTTAACATAATACTCCCCAGGTCCATCCATGCTGTTGCAAATGATAAGAGTTCTTTCTGTTTTTTTACAACTGTATAGTATTTCATTGTGTAAATGTACAATCATTTTTTTAAAATATATTTTATTGATTTTTTACAGAGAGGAAGGGAGAGGGAGAGAGAGTTAGAAACATCCTGCCCACAACCAACCTACATGCCCTTGACAGGAATCGAACCTGGGACCCTTGAGTCTGCAGGCCCACACTCTTATCCACTGAGCCAAAGTTGTACCATCATTTTTAATCAACTCATCTGCTGATGGACACTTGGGCTGTTTCCAGATCTTTACAATCTCAGCTATTGTAAGTTGAGCTGCTATGAACATAGGGGTGTGTATATTATTTCTGATTGGTGCTTCTGGTTTCTTAGGATATATTCTTGGAAGTGGGATTACTGGTTCAAATAGGAGTGCCATTATTAATTTTTTTAAGGAAACTCCATATTGTTTTCCATAGTGGCTGCACCAGACTCCATTCTCACCAGCAGTATACTAGGGTTCCCTTTTTTCCACATCCTCATCAACATTTGCCTTTTGTTGATTTCTTAATGAAAATCATTCTAACAGGTGTGAGGTAATACCTCTTTCTTCTTTCAATTTGCAACTCTCAGATGATCAGTGACTTTGAGCATTTTTTCATATATCTTTTGGCCTTCTGTATGTCTACGTTGGAGGAGTGTCTATTTAGGTCCTTTGCCCATTTTTTAAATTAGATTGTTTGTCTTCCTTTTATTAACATGTATGAGTTCTTTATGTATTTTGGAAATTAATACTTTATAGGCTGTATCATTTGTAAATATGTTCTCCCATGCAGTGGGCTCTTTTTTTATTTTTTATTTTGTTGATGGTTTCTTTTGCTGTGCAGAAGCATTTTATTTTCATGTAGTCTCATTTGTTTATTTTCTCCATTGTTTCTTTTGGCCTAGGACTGTGGTCAGCAAACTGCGGCTAGCAAGCCACATGTGGCTCTTTGACCCCTTGAGTGTGACTCTTCCACAAAATACCATGGCCTGAGCAAGTCTATTTTGAAGAAGTGGCGTTAGAAGAAGTTTACGTTTAAAAAATTTGGCTCTCAAAAGAAATTTCAAACATTATACTGTTGATATTTGGCTCTTTTAACTAATGAGTTTGCCGACCAGTGGCCTAGGAATTGTATACATAAACATATTGCTACAAGAGATGTCTGAGATTTAACTGCTTATGTTTTCTTCAAGGATTTTTATGGTTCCCTGACTTACATTAACTCTTTTATCCATTTTGACTTTATTCTTGTGTATGGTGTAAGTTGATGGTCTAGTTTCATTATTTTGGATGTACCTATCCAATTTTCCCAACACCATTTATTGAAGAAATTGTCTTTACTCCATGTATGCTCCTATCTCCTTTGTCAAATATTAATTGAGCATAATGGCTTGGGTTGATTTCTACGTTCTCTGTTCTGTTCCATTGAACTGTATGCCTGTTCTTGTGCCAGTACCATGCTATTTTGAGTAACATGCCTTTGTAGTATAACTTCATATTTAGTATTGCAATTCCTTCAAATTTGTTCTTTTTCAAGATTATTGCATCTATTTGAAGTCTTTTTTGGTTCCATATAAAATTGTGTAGTATTTGTTCTAGATCTATGAAATATGCCATTGGTATTTTAATAGCGATTGTATTGAATCTATAGATTGCTTTGGGTAATATGAACATTGTAATGATGTTAATTCTACCAATCCATAAACAAGTTATATACTTCCACTTGTTTATATCTTCCTCCAACTCTTTCTTCAACATCCTATAGTTTTCTGAGTATAGGTATTTTACCTCTCTGGTTGTAGGGAGAAGTTATAGAGTTAAGCCTCTGACTGACCTGTTGGCAAAGCCACAAACAAGTCCCAGCTTAGAGGGCACAGCCCTCTTAGCATAATTAGATTTGATCTTGTGAAGCTCCCTAGATCTTTCCTTGGTAGCTAATGGGCTGTGGGAGGTACAGAAAGTGCTGCCAAAACAAGTGAAACTTACAAGAATATTGTAAATTACCTTGTTTACCTCTGACTATAAAATAAAGGATCAGCTTGCAGTCTGGATCTTGCAGTCAGGCACAGAAGATCCACCTACCTAACTGCCCCTAACTGCCCTCCCAAGCTGGCAAGGGAGGGCAGTTAGGGGCAGTTAGACCCAGCATATTCTCTGTCTGTCCTTTCCTAATCCTTCGCTGGCGCCCCTCAGGCTTGGCGAAACCTTGGCTGTGCTGGCTCGGCAAACCTGGTTAAGTTTATTCCTAAGTATCTTTTTTTTTTTTCTTGCAAA